AATACCTGATTATAGAGTTTTTACGGCAGTCAGTTTAAATCTATTAAAAATACACCCAAATATTAGCCAACAAGTAGAGACCTTTGCTAACAATAATTTTAACGATTACGTCATAGGAATTCATTTTAGAGAGAAAAAGTCTCCACATGATTATTTAATACCTTTAGAACATTACGCTAATGTAGTGAAAATGCTGTTGGTAGAGACGCCAACCACGAACATATCTTTATTTGTGGCTGCCGATAATAATAATGGTCTTAAAAATTTATTAAATTCACTTAATGAAACAATAAATTCTAATAGTCACAACAGTTCTATTAAGATATTTCATACCGAAGATAATTTGGATGCCCATAATCCCGTTAGTTATAATACCGGTTCAGAAGTAGGCGCTCTTGTCGATTTAAAGTTACTTAGCTTATGTGATGACTTGGTGATTACATATGGTTCTTCGTTCGGTTTTCTTGCAGCAGGATGGTCAAAAAAAGCGTCTCGTAAAAGGGGCCCATTTATTGTAATGCCAATAAAAAACTCGCCCGAGGATTTAACGGATGTAGATAAAGTTTGGGTGTGGGGTGCTACATCAAGTGAACCTTGTATGTACTTGAGCAAATGGTTGATGAAGCATGAAGATGAGGAAACCGTTAGAGTTTTTAAAACAAATCCGTTATGGATGCATTTTAGTCAATGTCATTGGCCACATGATTATTGAATTATTCCATATTTTAAAATAACACTATATAATGAACTCATCATTGATTGATGGAGCGTTCAAAATTCAGTATATAAATTATTAGCAAAAAAAAAACTCAATTTTGATTGAAATTTTTTCCACCATTAAATGATGGAACGTTAAAATTTAGTATAAAAAAAAACTCAATTTTGAATGATGGAGCGTTAAATTTAGTATACTGGTATATATTATTAGCATAAAAAAATACACAACTTTGATCAATTGAATTTTTAATTTATAAAAATTATTAATTTTTTAATTTTAGTTTAAAAATTAAACTGTTTAAAAAAATTTTTATTAAAAATTAATGTAATTTTTTTTCATAATTAAGTATTTGATATTAAAAATATTTAATTGATTACTAGTGAATATGGAACAATTTATTGATCTAATTTTAAATTTATCAGAAGCTCTGAATCTAGTTGCAAATCATTTCTTTAGAAATTTCATCAAACGACACACCATTGAATGATCTTACCAGCCAACATTTCTGCTATGATGACATTGAATCCATAAATGTCAGCAGCTTATGTAAACTATTTTCTTGTAAGGCTTCTAGAGCAACTTAACGCAAAATCCCGTAAATACCACCTTCCAAATCGTTTTCATCAATCTTTTTAGACAATCCTAGATTTGGTATATGCTATTTGACAAAATATTGCCACTGTGAAATTAAAAATAATTCTGACATAACGCCTATAAGTAGTTTTAATTTAATTCTCCAATAAGTCTTAGAAAATTTTTCTTAAAAATCTGCGTGGATTTCCATCAGCTAACTTTAAGCGTACTACGCCTTTATAAGATTGTTAAAAATATATTAGATATATGTTTGTTATAAATAGTATATTATAATCAGCATTTAATTTTTAAAAAAATTACAGATACGTAGCCAGTTAACGTTTTAAGCATAATAGTTTATAATTCCAACGACAAATTGTTCGTATACTGTCCAGCTCATAGGACGACTTTCATATGATTGGTTGGTTAAGTCAATTTAATTTTACATTATTTATACAGTTTAAAGTACTTTT